CAACATTTTCTGAAATTTCATTAAGCAATTGCATGGCTTCTGCAGTGATTTTTCCCATTATAGATCCTTCTAATGCTGCATCAATCACATTTCTACAGAGGGTTTAAGACCATGATAAAAAATATATAACATATTAGGATCTTGGATACTATGATGTGGGCATTTTCTTAACATTACTTTTAATCTTTCCCATGCTTGGTATACAGATTCCGTATTTGTCTATATAAAATTATTAATTTCTTGCTTCATTTTAAAAGTCTTTGTAGGTGAAAAATATTTATTAAGGAATTTTAAGGTCATTTGGTCCCATGTAGTAATAGAACCTCTTGGTAAGCTTCGTAACCATATTTTGGCTTCACCTTTTAATGAAAAAGGAAAAAGACGCAACCTGATAGCGTCTGTTGTGACTCCATTGTACCTACAAGTTTCAACTAATTCAAGAAAATCAATTAGATGGTTGTGAGGATCTTCACTTGAATCACCAGTAAACTGACAAGACTGTTGGATGGTTTGAATCCTGTACGAATTTCAAAGTTATTTGCTGCAATTGGCGGTCTTCTTACACTTGATTCTCCTTCAAAATAATCTGGCCTTGCATAATCTCTAAGTATTCTATCACGTCGTGGTGCCACTTCATCAAACTGTTCTTTTGCTTGATGTGGCGGAAATTGGTTGTTGTTAAGTTCTTCATTCTCCATTTCTTCTTGTGAAGAAATTTGAGGTCGTGAAACCTGCTCTTTTCGCAACAACCGCAAGGATTTTTCAATTTCAGGATCGTATTCAACTAGTTCTCTTGAGGAGGAACGGGTCATACACTTCCTGAAATTGTTGCACAAAAATTAAGATAATAAAATAAAAACTCAAATTAGTAGTAAAATAATTAATCTGTAGTAGACTTTGCCAATCCCTGGCAACGACACCAAAAAATTGACGAGTGTCTAGCGTGTATAAATTTAAACTCGTACTCTGTCAAATAATAGTATAGAAAGATGTCGAACCCACACAGATTGGTTTATCTATTCTACAGACGTTTCTTGTTTTAATTACTATTTGAGAAAATCAGGAAGAGTTGAGTTGTGAATTAGTTAACTAAAAATATATGAATAAAGTGATAGAAAATATTTTATTTTTCACAAATATAATAATAAGGTGTTGGGATCATAACTTCACTTAATATTTCTACTATATAATAGATAAAATTATCCTTCAATTTCTATTTCTCATAAATATATAAATGCCTCTCACGATTACATTTATATTTTATTACTTAAGTTGAACAATTAATTGCACTTCTCTCGGTTATACAAATTAATCGTTAAAATAGTAATATTAAAGACCCAGAAATATATGCTTGAACTGAAACATGTTCCCATTTTTTAGTAGGTCCATTTCGGTTACCCTACTTATTATAACTGATTCCTACAATATTCGCCTCTTACGATTACAAATAAGTATAGAATCAATTTTAACATATAAGAGCTAGATGTTATTAAATAAAACTTAACATCTATCAATAACAAAATTTACTATATTGCTTCTTCCGCCTCTTTCGATTACAAAATTAATAATAAGTTAATATGTAGTACGAAATAGATAGATGTTAACAAATTAAATAACACCTAACTATAAAACAGATAAAATTTAAATGAAAAGCTTCAGCTCAAGCACATGAAATTGAAGGATAATATCTACTATTATATAGAAATATTAAGATTCTCCATTTTCCCAACACAAGAAAAGTTACTCCATATTGAAATTATTACTGACAACGGAAATATTCTTACCCATTAAATAAGAAAATAGAAGGAAATATTCAAAAAGAATAATTTCCCTATTTAATTAAAAATAGGAACTAGAGTAATTTCCTACCCTAGATAATTAAAGAAATTGATATTAAAAAAAATCTTATAATTAGAAAGTAATGTATGATATAGTTTCTGCTCCTCCGTCATATCCTTTAAACTAGCTCCAAGTTCCCATTTTATAGGTGCACTTGAAAGCTTTTGGAAACGTGATTTTACATCACGTTTTCTTCGGATTTGCATAACTTTGGTTTCCTTTCCTTGCAATTAGTCTTCACGGGCTTACAAGGCAAATTTGAGTCACGTTTCAAGCTTCTGATTTCTTTTCTATATTTTTCTTTTTCTTTTCTTCTTGATTTATTTATTTTCTCTTACTTATTTATGGTATTTCTTGCAAATAAAATATAAATATTAGTATTTAAATTAAACGTGATACTTATATATGCATGATATTTTCTTCTTATCAATAACATGAGTCATTAATTCCAAATAAGGATGAGACGACTATGATAGAGGATAACTAACTTCATTTAGGTTTGAGCAACTTACGGAAGCAATACAACAATTTAATTAAGGATAAGCAACAGAAAAGGTAGCAAGGTAATTGAAGATGCAACAACTTCAGTTAAGGCACACGAGAGTCAAATAGGCAATAAAAGTGGAACATGAAGCAATTAATTCCAATTAAAACATGTGGATGTGAAACTAGTAAATGAGGAACTTAACATAACAAACAACTTCATATCTAATGAATATAAGAACCTAAGAGCCCTAGAAGGTCAACTTTCCATAAATAAGCCCGAGCACGTACTTGTCGCCTCGCGTACACGGACTTTACATGATATAATTAGCATAAAAGACTCAAATCCTAAGGGGTAGTTCCCTCACACGAAGTTAGAAAAGATACTTACCTCAAAGAAGATAGACCGTTACTCTAAAATGAACTTCTCGAGTGAAATAACATCCGGACAGCTCAAATCTAGCCAAAATAACTTCGAAGCATAAATAAAACTCATAAGAAACTATTACGGATAATAAAGCTTCAATTTTTATCAAAAACTAAACATCAACCCAAAAGTCGACCCCCGGGCCCGCACCTCGAAACCCGACAAATTTTACAAAATCCGAACACCCATTCCGATACGAGTTCAATTATACCAAAATTATCAAATTCTGATACCAATTTATCCCTCAAATCATCATTTTATACTTTGAAAGTTTTCTTCAAAAATCCCCATTTTTCCTCAACTCAAAACACTAATTTAATGATAAAAATAAGATAGAATCATGAAATATAATAAATTCTAGGTGAAGAACACTTACCCCAATGATTTGCTTGAAAAAACACGAAGAATCGCTCAAAATCGAGCTCTACAACTCCAAAAATGTTAAAAATGACTAACCCTCGGAATAGAGTATTTTTATATTCTGCCTAGTGATTAAACATCGCGATCGCGAAATTTCAACTGCGATCACGAAGAGGAAATGACCACTGTCCAAAAATTAATGCTACGCGATCACGTACAGAAGAGTGCGATCGTGAAGAGGGAAAGCTTATGACACCAAAGGACTGCACTACACGACCGCGAAAGGGAGAATGCGTTCGCGAAAGGGAACCAACTGGGGTTGTGCTACGCGAATGCGTACGGTTAAACGCGAATGCGTTGAAGGGAAATGCACAACCACGCGATCGCGGACAGAGACATGCGAATGCGAAGAACAAATATTATCTGCCTCCAAAAATCACATTACGCGATCGCGGAAGAGCTGGTGCGATCACGATGAAGGAAACCAGCAACCAGTAGAACAACAATCCAAAATCATGGAGAAAAGGTCGTAGCCCATTCAAAACACACCCGAGACCCCGGGCCCTCGTCTTAATACACCAACAAGTTCCGTAACCTATCACGGACTCGCTCGAGGCCTCATATCACATCAAACAACGTCGACACTACGAATCGCACCATGAATCGAGCTCATGAACTTTCAAATCTTCCAACTTCTAAAACTCACGCCGAAACTTAACAAATCAACCCGGAATAACGTCAAATTTTGTAGGCAAGTCCCAAATGACATAACAGAGCTGTTCCAACCCTCAGAATCGCATTCCGACCCCGATATCACCAAAGTCAACTCTTGGTCAAACCTTTCAACCTTCCAAAACTTCAATTTTTCCAACTTCCGCCGAAATGCTTTATATTACCCTACGGACCTCCAAATCCAAATCCAGACGCACGCCTAAGTCCAAAATCACTATACGAAGCTATTGAAATCTTCAAAACACCATTTTGGAGTCATTTTCTCAAAGTCAAAATTCTTGTCAACTCTTACCGCTTAAGCTTCTAAAACAAAATCATTCTTCCAAATTAACTCCGAATCATCCGATAACTGAATTCGGTCACACCCGCAAGTCAGAACACATAATACAAAGCTGCTCAAGACTTTAAGCCATCGAACGGAACGTAAATTCTCAAAACGACTGGTCGGATCGTTATAAGATGTTTGGTTCATTGCACTAGAAATGAGATATACAGGATATAACACAAAACATATTTGATTTACATTAGATAAATTTTATTTGAATTTTAACCCTAAATTTTCAAAGGACTTTGGAAGACGACCATTGAAGAAAGACATCTTTGTCCTTTTACTCCCTCCAGTCCACAATAAGCGACCATTTTACTGTTTTATTTTAGTTCAAAATAAGTGTTCATTTACATAATCAAGAAGTTAATTTTATTTTTTCAAAATTTGCCCTTATTTACATATTCCAATGTGTCAAGATAACAAGTAATTAAGGTTAATTTAGTGAATACATCTTTTTTTTCTCTCCAGGAGTTCGTATTTACTTAATGGGTGTGCCAAAGGTAAAATGATCACTTATTGTGAACCGGAGAGAATAGTATTTTATCTCGAAATTATTGTTCTCGAGATTGTTATCCCATCAAATGCGGGATAGGAAAGGGTTTTGAATCGTGACACATAGAATGAAGGATCTTTTATAAGATTAATAAAACCTATTAGCTAAAAGTGTAGCGGGAACCTACAGTCGTTAAGTTGCAAGTCCAAACCTTTGCATTTTCCTTTTCAATCTATATCTTTTTAAGAAAGTTTATACGGCAGACATCAAGCGGTGATAGTGAAGCAAGAATTGAATCTTGCAAGTTGCAGGTAACTGGTGTAAAGTAGCATTGCATATATATATAAATCAATAATAGATAGAGCTAACTGAAAATAAGAAATAATATATACACAAAGAATGAAGGCCGTGAAATGGCAAAATTGTTGTCTACCTAAGGGAAAGAATTAAAAAAATTATATACAATCCGAAGGTGTTGTCACAGTGCCCCTAATCCTCGTGATAAGGTGCTCTGTTCCAGAAAAGAACTCTTCTAAGTTCTAATCATCCAAAAGAAGCTGGCGAATGCTATTCTCAAGTCTCAGCCTAGCCACCACCATTTTTTTCTTTTTCGGGTCTCTCCAGCAGGAAACTCTGTAATAAATTAGCACAAACGGAAACCGTTTAACCAATACTGCATTTTATATCCCTACTGCTACTACTGAAAAAGATGAACCCTCTTAGCCAGGTAAATCCGCTATGTAACTATCTTGTTAAACTTGTCCTGTCAAAGCAAATCCTTAAACTGGAAGTATACCGGTTCAACCTAAATTTCTGGTCCGACAAAACCAGTTAAAAGAATCCTAAAAGATCACTGAATTCTCAGCTAATTGTCTTTATATAGGACTTCCCAGCAGGCACTCCGAGCCACAGTATAGGGAAAAACTAGATGCGAGGCCACTAATTAAGAACAGAAGATATAGCCAATAATTTTTTTTTTAGACAAAACATGATGGTACTTCACAATTAGTTTGAGGAGGAAAGCTCAAAACCTCGACAAACGTGGAAGAGTGGTTTTTCTTTTCTCCAAACCTTGGCAAATGTGGAAGAGTAGTTTTTGGGTTGAGGGTGGTGGAGTCCAAGATAATGGGAGCTTTTCAGAAAATTGTAAACATACATCAGAGACTAATTAGAACATTTCTTTTACTAGGTCAAAAGTATGTTGGATACGAATAAGATGTAAAAACAATATCCGTTCAATAAAAGAGCATGGCGCAGATATTAAATGCATTCTCTACCACAAAAAGGAAAGAATGACAATACTCATTTACCTCCTTGCGGATAGATTGAATTGTAGTGCACTTCAGCCCAAAAGCTCAAAAAAATGACTGCATAAATTAAAAAGACATATTATTCGGTCTTTCTGAGAGAGAGAAAAGAAAGAGAACAAGACATATTCTTCACCGGAGGAAGATAATGTGCTAAATTAGCAGCACTAATGTTATTGGTGCTTCCCTCACACGAAAAAAGAAATTAGAACCGGACAAACTGTTATAGGTTCTGAGAAAGAATGAACAGAAATAGAACAAGAAGGTGTGTTTATCACAAGAGGAAGATAATGTGTTAAATTTTCCTCAGTCTTCAGTGTTATATCCATGTATACTAGAATCCAAGGTCTAGTGTTAATTCCTTCCCATATACAAGTCTAGGAATGGCAATGGGGCGGGGCGGGTTGGAGCTTAACCCGCAAAATTTCAACCCGCCCCGCCCCGCCCCCGCAAATTTTTTTTTCCGCTAAAAAAATACAAGTTTAATATTTCACCTTTTTCAGTTTTTTAAACCCCTCATATGGATCCAAATATTATATTTTTATTTTCAGAGATTATAAATCTGTGCATGCATTTCTAATTAATTACTCTTAGGACATATATTTACATAAATCTTTGTCTTTTAAAATTTCCCTTTTGAACGTACTTATCATAGAGTTAGGCAAATGCTGCGAAAAGGAGTGGACAATAATGTTCTTTGATAATCTGGAGCAATGTGATCAGCAATAACTGAAAAAGAAATTCTTTGATTCTCACAATTTTCATTTCCCACAATCGAGAGATTGAATGAAATAAAGAAATAGAACGAGGGGGCATCACTTGAAAATGGAAACAGGAAAGCTTGAATTGGAGCTTATATACAAAGTCCAAGTTCAGTGCTACGAGGAAACCAGCAACCNCCCACCCGCACCGCCCCATTGCCATCCCTTATTACAACACCAATACCCATGTAGATTTCTCCTTCCAGAATTAGTGCTGCTTCTAGCTTCTCTCACTATTTGTCATCTTGTACTTCAGACAGTTGTATTCATGTCACAAAAGGTTTCTCAACTCACAGTACTAAAGGGGATAGCCCCAGCAAGGATCCTCATATTCTGATCTCCCTATCTACTCTGATTCAATTTTCACTTCTTAGACCTGGTCTTTCTCTCCTCCTTTTCATCCTACATCAGCAGCTCTATGCAACAGTGATGAAAGTGAATCGACCTAGAAACTACTGTAGTTGCCAATTTTAGGATCCTACCTTTCTTATAGCTTTCTTTTCTTCTTAAGTATAATAAATCTACCATACAACAAGACTACACACAAGCGCACAAACGAAAAGGAAAGAAGAACGCTAACTTTGATCCCTCTCACCCAAAAAAAAAGGAAAAATAAATAAAGTAAGCTTACTTGGATATCTAAAATGTACAACAGGAAAAAACACTCAATTGATTAAAAAAAACTTACTTCTCTTTGACTTTTGAATTTGTGGAAGAATCTCAATGTAGCAGGTGTCCTTAAATGAAGTAATGACAAATATCTTAACACCATACTGTAATAACATTGGAACAAACGTCAGTCACCAATTGAAAATTTAAAATACACACCTGAATTGAGAGAATAGCAGATCGCCATCATATGACAATAGACAACAAAAGAGAGAGAAAATAGGATTTTCTGTGTTAGGAAAAGAAAGGAAAATGGTTGGCAGGAACCAATCAAAGGTCTCTTTCATTAAGGATGCCAACTCAGGAACTCCTAACCATTGTCTGAGCACTGAGATTCCTTGAAAGAAAATTCATAATCAATCTAAACGAATCAAATGGAAGAGTGGCGACGACCCTGCCTAATCAGCTACTTCTAGCAAAAATTGGGGTTTGGGAGAGCATAAAAGAACATAGCCGTGACATGCATTGTTATCCAGAATAAAGTGAATAATGAGACCCTATAATAGCAACATTTTTATTCTTAACTGCTGTATGGTGCTCTAAGCGGTATACTGCTTGTTTTCCATACAGTAATTATTATAATAGCAAGGATAACAGCTGCTTTCAAGATGCAAATGAATTTAACGGAATTGCTTCTGAATTTAAAAATCTGGAATAACGGTTACTATATCTTTCACAAAAATAGGTAAGAAACCCCAAAGTTTGGTAATAAGGAATAAGATGTATTACATTTTAGAATCATTAAGGAACATCATCTTGATTCTAAAGTAACCAGTCTTTAGTTTTTTGAGAGGTTAGCCCCGTAATCAAAATCCATAGATAATAAGAGTCCCCACGCTTTAGAGGGTTTGTTCATCTTGCCACTATATGTGTTCTTAGCAGTTTTGACATCTGATGCATGGGCCATAGTGTGAATAACTTAATCTCATCCAGAAATCATCAAGAGCCTTAATTTCATCCTCCTTGCACTTGTTTGTGGAATACAGAAAATACCAGTGAATTACCAAATCAACTCCATTTCTTCTGGTTGATACAAGTCCAAAAGAAAACTCTCACAATACATAAAACAAGCTTATGTTTGTTTTTTGTAAATAGTAGTGGATTCTATGCTCTGTACAGGCAGATAAAAATCAAAGGCCACATTGCAAAAGGGATGATAAGCAAATACATTTTGAAATTCCTCAACAAGCACCAAGAAATTCCTAATAACAGATCTTATTAGGATACATTTCTCATTTCTTATGAATTTATAGATAAACTTCTGTGAAAACCTATGATTTGTCGAATTCAAATATTCAAACTATTTGTTTACTTAGCTCGAATAATTAGGTCATAAAAACAGAACTCACAAATTCTTAGTCGAGAGACTACTTCATAAAACAGAAGAGGTCACAGCTAACATTCACATCAAGAAGACCTAAATCCATCAACAAGGTTTTGGTCAATGACTACAAGCCCAAAGTAACTCAAGTTACTGGCAATTCTCTCTCTCTCTCTCTCTCTCTCTCTCTCTCTCTGTGTCGGAAAAAATCAAGAAGCCACTAGCAATTTAGTGTAAAATCCAAGGGTTTTACTTTAGAAATCCCGAGAACCTAAGTGCATATTTATGTCGCCACGTAAGCTCTTCATATTATAATATTTCAAAAGAGGATTTATACCGGAATTCCATAAACGTCTCATTCAGACACATCTAAGCCATCAAAGCAGCTGGCATCAAGAACGAAGACTGGTGGAGTAGACTCATTGAATACAAAGTCACTACATTTGATCTAACATATAGGCTGCCTAAAAAATTTCTAAAAAGATATAAACTTTTACTGCCATACTACTCCTGTTCATTGTCTTAATAGGATTCAACATAACAATAGTATTGAGGAACACACTAAGAATGAGATTTATACAACTATTTGATTTCAGAGCTTTGTCCTTCCAGTCCAAAAGAGTTTTCTCCACTTAAAAGATCCATCCTTTAAGAAAGAACTGAAGCCGGTTTAATCCAAACACGGGTGACTAAGCAAGAACCAGACCCCTGTTGAAACATCTAAAATGGAGCTGAAGGCTAGCTGGTAAATAATTCACTTAATGCCCTGCCAAATTACCAATTAAGTTCAACAGACCTCAAAACTACCATAATAGCAAAATTGTGGTGCTCCAATCAATCAACTTGCAAGTAACTATCATTTTTGTCAATATATGCTAGAGTAATTTCTAAACAAAAACAAATCCATTCAACAAATTACTATGGAAACCCAAAACACCAGAACACAAGGAGAGGGCAAGAGGACAATACTGAATCTGCAGCAGCCTGCAAAGTTATATGATCACCCCATTCGCCAGCCCTGTTTAGAAGGAGTACTTAAATAAGAGCGTAATCATTAAAAAGTGGGAAAAAAAGTGTAAGGAGCTTCAGTAATTACTTGCTCATTTTCTTCAAGTATTCATCATAGACCATCGGAACATAACCCTCATACAACTCCCTGCGGAACTTGAGCTAATAATAACAACAATTAGAAGTAATCAATAGTTATGAAGAAGTAAATAGAAGGACACGATCACAATGCATAGTAATGATTTAATGTAACTTTGTCTTAGAAAAGGTATGCATATGTAAATTTTGGGTTGCTTGACTGCCTCTTTGTGCCTATACTTTCCTAGTTTTTTTTTTTTTTTT